GAGGTGGGTAAAATGAGGACGGATTGTTGTTGGGAGCAATATGCTGACTCTGTAAACTGCTTAGAGAGGGCTGAAAGCCCTATGAAGCGGTATATAAGTCTAACTGCTATTGCTATTGCTATTGATTGGAGGATTTAGCATTTGTTTTTGTTTTTGCTGGACTATCTGCATTCTGCTATTGATTGATAGTAATTGTAAAAAGTCCAGACTCTCTGGAATTATTGTGTGCATGCATATATGTTTGCATAAATAAAATAATTGTTCAATTTATATGACTGTCTGTATAAATTCCCAATTAGAGATGACAGATAATAGAATAGAATATCTCAGTTGGAAAACTGTAACAAAGCAGTAAATATATACATACAAAACATACAAAAGACTGCCAGGGTCTCTGGAATTTGACTCCTTCGAACCCTTCTTAGATATCATTGGAATGCCAGAGGAAGCTGAGAAAAGGTAGCTGCTTTGGTTTATCAAAATTGAGGTATTGGCTTTGCTTGGAGATTATCCACTTCCAGCTAATCTTTTTAGTATAAGTGGTGAACCTTAGATTTTCTGTGAAAAATGGAATCCTGCCAGAGCCTGCTCTATTCATTTAATAAGGAGGCAAAAGCTCTTACGCGTTTCCTGATTTTACTAAGGTTAGCAGTGCAGAAAAATTAGTAACATGAGAAGTACTGCTTTGAGAGAACATATCTCACTTCATTATTGAGGAAGGATGGTTTTTCTCATTTATTAATGGTATATCAGATCTTAAACTGCCTCTGCCTGTCTCTTAAGTACTCATATCTGGATGTTCTCAGTTGCAGGGAAAGATCACAGACTGCTTCTAGGACTGTCCTGTGTCTTTCTGTTACGTCCCCCCCTCCTATCTCCTTTACCTGCTTTTCCTTCTGAACTAAATGGAACGTTATTAAATATTATTTGAATAAACATATTTCCCTTTTTCCTAGTGATTAATTTGCATAATAATAATTAGAATAATAACCTACTGAGGTTAATAACCTACTGAGGTAGTCCAGACAAAAAGACCACACAGATGAACTAATTTTACTTTATTACGAAGTTATATTAACAGAAACTTGCAAATCTGAAAGTACATCTCTCTCCACTCACCTTTATATTCCAAGAAACTAGGGTAAAGGTCCCTTGTGAGATATTTGCCATGCCTCATTGTTTCCGTGGGCTTCACTGCCTCTTATCTAACCACTGCCTAGTCTGCAGCTCTTTCCCTGTCTTCCAAGGCCATTCCTACAGACCATTCAGAAGAGGGCAACAAAGATGATAGAGACTTGAATACAGGAACTTTGGATAAAACGGAATGGATGAATAATCCCACTACTAGATGGTTTCAAAGCTGGTTGTACTCCTGTACGCCACACGTGGTCCTTGGCTTCTTTATCTTAGGAACATAGAAGACTGACGGCAGAAACAGATCTTGTGGTCCCTCAAGTCTACCCCTTTTTTGTTTTGTTTTTTAATGCAGGGGTGTCAAACTCAAGACCCAGGGGCTAGATCCATCCTGCGGGGTGCTCAGATTTGGCCCGCGGGGCAACCTGGAAACAGCGAAGGACTGGCCTACGGTGTCTCTGTCAGTGAAAACAGAGCTCAAGGGGGACGCCCATGGCCCTCCCAAGTTCTGTTTTCACTGGCAGAGGGTTGCAGGAGGCCGTTGCAACCAAAAACAGAGTTTGGGAGCCTGTTTTCACTGGCAAAATGCTCAGGCCACCACAGGCGCCCCCAACATGAGTGATGTTGAGCTGGCCACGCCCACCATGGCCCACTGAGGTCAGACAACCCTGATGTGGCTCTCAATGAAATGAGTTTGACACCACTGTTTTAATGCATTATTTTTTATTATTATTTTAATTTTAATTTATTTTTATTGTATTGTATTGTACCTTGCTCAATAGTAGTAACTGTGAGAGGGATCTTGGCGTCCTAGTGGACAACCATTTAAATAGGAGCCAGCCGTGTGCAGCAGCTGCCAAAAATCCAACACAGTTCTAGGCTGCATAAACAGAGGGATAGAATCAAGATCTCGTGAAGTGTTAATACCACTTTATAAGGCCTTGGAAAGGCCACACTTGGAATACTGCATTCAGTTTTGGTCGCAATAGCAATAGCAATAGCAGTTAGACTTATATACCGCTTCATAGGGCTTTCAGCCCTCTCTAAGCGGTTTACAGAGTCAGCATATCGCCCCCAACAACAATCCGGGTCCTCATTTTACCCACCTCGGAAGGATGGAAGGCTGAGTCAACCTTGAGCCGGTGAGATTTGAACAGCCGAACTGCAGATAACAGTCAGCTGAAGTAGCCTGCAGTGCTGCACTCTACCCACTGCGCCACCTCGGCTCTTAACCTGGCCATGATGTAGAAAAGATGTGGAGACTCTAGAAAGAGTGCAGAGAAGAGCAACAAAGATGATTAGGGGACTGGAGACTAAAACATGAAGAATGGTTGCAGGAACTTGGTATGTCTAGTTTAATGAAAAGGATTAGGGGAGACATGATAGCAGTGTTCCAGCATCTCAGGAGTTGCCATAAAGAAGAGGGAATCAAACTATTTTCCAAGGCACCTGAGGGTAGAACAAGAAGCAATGGGTGGAAACTAATCAAGGAGAGAAGCAACTTAGAACTGAGGAGAAATTTCCTGACAGTTAGAACAATTAATCAGTGGAACAGTTTGCCTCCAGAAGTTGTGAATGCCCCAACACTGGAAGTCTTTAAGAAGATGTTGGATAGCCATTTGTCTGAAATGGTATAGGGTTTCCTGCCTAGGCAGGGGGTTGGACTAGAAGACCTCCAAGGTCCCTTCCAACTCTGCTATTGTATTGTATTATTTTTGTCAGATGATGGGCATGTGTTTATCCCAAGCATATTTAAACTCAATTATTGACGATTGATGCACTACATCTGCTGGAAGTCACAAGCTTCCTCTACTTTTTTTGTGAAGTCATACTTTCTAATATTATGTTTGAACTAACCCTAACCCTCCTTTCAGTTTGAGATTATGCCCCTAGGTTCTTGATTTTTTGCTTAATGTTGAAAATACTAGAACCTTCTAGAACCTTGTTCACACCTTTCATATATTTCAAGGTTTCAATCATATGTCTCTGTTCTCCGGACTGTACACATTCAGTTCTTCCAATCTCTCCTGATTGTGTCTTGGAGCTTGTTATCCATCTCTGGACTTGCTCAATCTTATATCTTTTTTTAAGTGGGGTCTCCAGAACCCGACACTCTATTCCAGTTTAGTCATAGGTCTGGCTAAAGCTCTATACAGTGGGATTAGGGCCTGCTGATGATCCTTCTAGTGATATATCACAGAATTTTGTTTGCCTTCACAACATCAACTCTTACTATATACCTTTGTGTCACCAACAAAAGGTGTGTATTAGAGTTTATGTTCCTGGTGGTATTCGTCATCAGGAATATCGTCAGTGGGGGATCTCAGGGTCTGTCTTATCCCCAGTGCTCTTCAACTTTTTAATGAATTATTATGAGGAGATAGAAGAAGAGCTGGTCAAGTTTTCTGGCAACCCAAAGTTGGGGAGTATTGCTAACTCCTTAGAAGACAGGCTCAAGGTTCAAAAGACTCTGTCCTCAAGATAGTCCTCCTCCCTAATTCCCACGTGTTTACAGCAAAAATGAAAGCACGCAGAGAATGCAACCCCAATAGCCTCCCCCTTACTCCATTGGAATGGCAGCATCCCAGAAGGGGACCTGACATGCTGCCCTCCCAGAAGAAAGAGGCTTATACCTGTAGCACATAACACAATAAACAGGAGAGAAAAATAGCATTTAGTCTCATTAGGTTTATCAGAGCATTGGTTGTGGAACCGTTTGATTAATTTAGGCCTAATTCATTGTCAAACAAATAAACATGACCTCCCCACGAAGACCACAGTGATCTAAATAATATTTGATTTATTGTTAAAACTTTAAAAGCTGCTTACAGAACTTATTGCTGGAAAACTAGGATGTGTACCAAATAAATAAAATTTATTTCTTTTAATTAGGATGAAACAGGTGCCTATTTAATAGACCGAGATCCATCCTATTTTGGACCGGTACTGAACTATCTCCGACATGGGAAACTGGTTATTAATAAAGATCTGGCAGAGGAAGGTACGTTTTGCAATTCAGGAAAACTCTCCTGAAATTCATTGGCTCCAAAAATTAGTCATTTGAAAAGCAGTTGCATGATTATTTGCACAAGCTGGCTGGTCTTGGCACCTCAACTCTTAGGGACCTCTTTTTTAATTTCCTGGGCTTGAAATTTTGAAAAATAAACTGGTCCTGGCATTTAATTCTTGTAAAATAACAGTTCTTCCAAACAATAAAAAGTAGGAATAAAGAAGAACGAGATTTATACAAGCAGACCCAAATCTCATTTTGCAAGGCTAGCCAGACTTCCAAATATGCTTCAAAGTCCCCTTCCTTCAGCTGGAATATTTCTAATTACAATATATTTGAAGAAACGGAAAGGAATGTGGTGGCACGCAGTGTTGCCCTTTTCCATCTATTTGGACTCTGTCATCCATGTGTTCCCCAGCCACTCTTGAAAGTGGGAAGAGAGGTAGTACAGGGAGCAGTTTATGGCCTGGGCCCACACTGCCTCTTAGGGATGGCAGCAACAAACATTGATTGCTACCAGAATTAAGTTTTATCTTTTGTAACTTGGTTTCCTTTTCAAGGTGTGCTTGAAGAAGCTGAATTCTACAACATCACATCCTTAATTAAACTGGTGAAGGACAAAATAAGAGAAAGAGACAGTAAAATCTCACAGGTGGGACCCTCTTTGATTTCTAAGTAAGGGGTGTTTTTGGTTTGGGGCTGTTTCAGTATGTGAGATTTCCCACCTGGAAGTGCAACGTAGCCTTCCCCAGCTCCAGCAGCATTTCTTCTCTCTTGCTGATGCTGCTTGGACAGCCTGTGAGGCCAGTCCCACCAAGTGGGGAGCTGTACCCGTGACCTGGGGGGAGAGGGGGATTTAGGAAAGTTCCTTTTCCTGCATTGGTCCCAGCAGCAGCCTTCTCTGCCACAGGTGCCAGTCAAGCATGTTTACAGAGTGCTACAGTGCCAGGAAGAGGAGTTGACCCAGATGGTCTCCACCATGTCTGATGGCTGGAAATTTGAACAGGTAATGTAATAAGATTTTGTTTCCTTCCCTTTGCAGAGACAGGTACAGTTGAGAGAAAGAGAGAGGGAGGGAGGGAGTTTTATTGCATTGGTATATAAGGTATTATAATATTGTACAGATAGTCCTCGACTTACAGCAGTTTAGTGACTGTTCATAGGTGCTGGAAAAAGTGATTTATGACTTTTTCACACTAATGACTGCTGCAGCATCCGCAATGGTCATGTGACAAACTGGCGTTTGGCAACTGACTCATATTTATGATGATTTCAATGTCCTGGGATCATGTGATCCCTTTTGATCCCTTCTTCTGACAAGAAAGTCAATGAGGGAGTCAGATTGCCTTAATAGACGTGTTACTAACTTAACAACTGCAGTGATTTCTTTAACAGATGTGACAGGAAAGGTCATAAAATGGAGCAAAACTCACTCAACAACTGTCTTCCTTAACCACATAAATTTTGGGCTCCATTTTGGTTGTAAGTTGAGGATTACCTGTACTACGATATTATCAATAGCAAATACATATTAGTAATAGCAATATCCCATCATAAATAATATCTGTGTTATTAAGTAATGCCAAATTAATAAGTAATAATCTGAAATTAATGTGTCAGCTACTTCAGTGTGCTTCAATAGTGGAGAGTTCACACCTGCACTTTCAGTCTCCCTTTAATGGGAAGGCCAACACTTTCATTCCTGTCTTGAGAGGGAGGTGGGGACAGGTAGAGGTGCCTTAACTAGGCCCACCAAGACAATCCATGAAGTGGGGGATGACCTCTGGCTCTTCTCTAGCTCCCTTTGCCTATGCTTCGTTTTTGGAAGGAGCCCCCCCCCCCCCTTTCTGTGCATGCCTCCCCTTATTTTTGTACATGGTTGAGAGCCTCCTGTTTATGGTGCCTCTTAAGAAAACTTTATCTTTGAATGTAATATTGCTGCTCCGGTGGGGTGGGGGTAATCTTTTTGTTTCCTCTTCCTTTTCTGTGAGTTTATGGTTCATTTCTGAACAGTGTTCTTTTTCAAAACAGTTTAAAGCCGTCTCCTGTTTTCCTTTATAATTCTGGTGATCTCTTGAAACCAGTGGTTGCTTTCCTGACTTGTAACATGTACTGGATTCTAGCTGGATCTCTGTGTTTTCTTTTTTTTCCTTTTTTTAGTAACCACTCAGTGATTTGGAAGATTTGACCACCTCAGCTTCTTTTTTCTGGTTTCTTTTGATAGTCCCTCATTTTTAGAGATTAGTTACTGCAAACAAGTGTGATTGAATTAGTGTCTTCATCATTCATCAGTTTATATCCAATGTTCCTCAAAGAACACTCTATGATTTTTTACTGTTTTAAAGTAAACCTGATAAAACTAATTAAGTTACTATTAACTAATTTGAACTGAAAAAATCAGGCCAAAAGAAATAAAAAAACTTTCTTCTTAAAGAGAAAGAACCGGGGTTGAACTCTCAAGTGAGTCCATTCTACTTGCTCCGTCCTTGCATTATTGCCTTTCCCCGATCATCATTTTTGTTATTGATTCTCTCAGCAATACTTTCATTTTAGGGCCTTCGGGGTCCAACATTGCCATTCAAGGAAACTTCCAGGCATAAATGGGAAAGAAGAGCCCTCCATGCTCTTCCTCCCCACAGCTGGTATTCAGGTTAGCACTGCAGTTGAACGAATGAAAAACATGACTATAGGTCACAGTTCTATCAAGCACATAAAAAATAATAACAATAAAAACAACTAAAAAAAGGCAGAATACAGGAAAGTGGGATCAGAACCATACAGCATGCAGTCATTGGATGGCTGCTGGTATTACCAGCATGGTTATTACTTGTTGACATGCATACTTAATAACTGCAAAGCAGGTTTTTTTGGCTCTAACCAAAAGGTCTTTAATATACAAATAAGGGACAATCTTGTTTCACGCCATTTTGGATAGGAATAGGTTCAGTTAGATCTCCTTTATAATTTATCTTAACTCACCTTAACAGTATTTTAATGCAGTGATATTATCTATTTAAGAAAGCAGTCTTAAGATCAGTCAAGGTGGCTAATTTCCTCCAAAATCTTTCTCATGGTATAAGAATGCCTTTAGCCCCTATGTAGGGCACCTGTGTGAAGAAATCTTTGGGAAGATTTCTTGGCTGGAATATATTATTATTATTATTATTATTATTATTATTATTATTATTATTATTATTATTATTATTATTATTATTATTNGACAAAATTCCTGAAGTCGTTGCAACCATCAAAGAAATTAGGGCCACATTTCATCGGACCTTTCCCAATCATCAAAGTTATCAACCCAGTAAAAGTAGAATTATTCCTGCCAAAGACACTCAGGAAAGTCCATCTAGTGTTTCACATTAATTTATTCAAACGAGAAGTAATCTCACAACTCAGACCACATGCACCTACACCTTCTGTTCCTATCATGATAGAAGGCGAACAACATTTTAAAATTAAGGAAATCCTGGACTCTAGGACCCACAGGAGGAAAACCCAATACTTAGTTGCTTGGACGCATTTACCTTCAGTCCAAAATGAATGGGTAGAGAAACACCACCTTAGGGCCCCTGCCCTATTGAAAAAATTTCACTCCCAATACCCTAACAAACCTTGTTGAAATACTATGATGCAATTTCTTTTCCTATTTTTCCACAGGTGAATCTCTCCTTTTTCTAAAGAACAGCAGCATGTCAGATCCCTAAAAGTGATACTGCTATTCAATTGGGAGGAGGGGAGCCTCGGACTTAAATCATTAGCTACATCTGAAACAACTGAGTTTAACAACTTTACAAGTGGTTTCCTGTAACCAGGAGACTCAAGGTCCCAACATGTCTGGAGGAATGTTTGTGACAGCCATGTGGGATATATAACTTTGATGTCTAACTAGAGATAGCCATGGGAACGCGTGCTTTATTGACTCCCAGGGCAGAAGAGTTAAGGAAGCATCTTCAAACATGTATTGGTCAGAATCTGCTTTCGGACAAAGGGGAGGGGTCATTATCAACTTAATCCCATTTGCATGGCCTAAAGGTTTGCAGATGCTGCTTTACGTCTAATGGTCTCCATCCTGGTTGATTAAAAGTTCCTTTTGAAATAATCCGTTTAAAGAGACTTTACTTTCTCAAGTTAGGAGAGGAGCCATTACACACTGATGGTTGATATGGGTTGCTGCCAGCATCTTAGGTTTTGACCAAGTATTTTCTTAAAATATATGATGGTACAAGTAGTGCAGTCTTTTGAAGTTCTGCTGGTGTTATTGCAGGAAGCTGTAATTTCTGGATGTACGTCTAACCATAATACAACTTCATTAATTGCATCTATAAAGAGAAAGGCAATAGGCTCCTTTTAATCCTAATCATTCCATTTTTTTTATAATAGCAGTTAGACTTATATACCGCTTCATAGGGCTTTCAGCCCTCTCTAAGCGGTTTACAGAGTCAGCATATCGCCCCCACAGTCTGGGT